CCCCAAAACCCCAAAACCCCAAAACCCCAAAACCCCTGGATATATTCCTATTATTGAATGCAAACTGAAGCAGCCAATTTAATGAATTCTTTAGCTAGGCGAGTCGAATAAATTCAACAGCATGCTAAGATTAGAGCACTTAGATTTACTTCCAATTTTGCTTGCAAAGCTTGACATTCGAGCAGAATGATTGCTAAATTTAGGAATGGAGAGCTTACAAGGGATTTGGTTCTGAGTTCATATTTTCAGCTTTCAAAAATCCTTTCTTATAATTTTCAGACATAGGCAATATATTGTTTTTAAATGACTGGACATTGGTGCTATATCTTCTTTCAGTAGCAAAAGGCTTTATGTTCCTTTGATTAGCAATGTTTCGTGAAATTCCAACTTGTAGATGCATGTCGTTTGATAGTTTTTGTCTAACTTTCGGACTGCACATCTTTAGCCCGGTTTTAAAGGCTTTCTCTGTATGTATGTTCACCTATAATAAACCTTATTTTATACCATTTGATATTGCGCTGCAGGATCATCTTTGAATTTGAACCTCATGCTATTTTTAGAAATCTAGAAGCTAAACTTAAATGTCTACATCAGGCTGATAGGTAGATTTATCTCTTTTGATAGTTTGACTTTTGAATTTCCTTCTTTTTCTAAGAATGTTAGCAATTTTCTACTTTTCCATTAACTTATAAATCAACTTGATAGTGGAGTGATCGTTAATAGGTAATGGGGAGACAATCTCTTGTCCATCTTTGGTTAATTCGGAGAGGGTATCCATATCGAGTTCCAAATCACCATTATTTCTAATAATTAGCTTGCTAATTACAACCTTTGACCTTTTAGAACCTTATTTCCCCTTCAGTTTAGTCAACAAGTTAATCTTATTCCTCAGGAAATAAGAGACTTTATTTAATTATTGCTTCCTTCTTTTCCTAGAGATATTCCAGTCAAAAGTACTGTAGAAATTATTTTCTGAAGCTGTGGGTTTTCTATTGCTCGGACATCGATCTACATATCAGGATAACAACCTACTTTGCTTTGAAAGTTGCATCATATTACTTTGTCTCAATAAGTCTGAAGCTGGATAATCTGGCTGAAGATTTAGCCATAGTTGAGTAACTTACTTCCGACATTTGTACATCAGTCTGAAAAGATCGTTTATATTTTTGTACATTGACACATTATTTCCCATAAATTTGAAACTCTTTAAGGAACTCTTCAGACATTTCGGAGTATTTGTCTATTGCTCTGCTAAGAATTTCTATTTGATTCTGCTTCTCTCTAGATTTAATTTTTGGAGAGAGCAGCTCATCCTTGATATCTTTATCTGAATTATTGTATGCTCTAAAATTTGTGGAGGTCTTACTTGCACTGAGTAATCCAATTAAAATCTTCTTCATCAAAAATATCTGGCGATTAAAGATATTAGGTTACCTTGATAGTTGTTTCATTCTTGCAGGAATATTTTAGTCAACTGTTGGAGAGATTTCAAGACTTTAAAAACCAGAGTATCAAAACTAAATAATAATATGGCTAAATCTACTATGACTTTGTATCTTTTGGGCTGATATCATATCCGTATTTTGTTCTAAAATCTTACTAAAAATCTACTTTTTCTTAACCAACTGTAATTTTAACGCTTGGAGTCCATTTTCTATAGATTTTTCACCGAACAATTACTTATTAAATTAACTTGGTCTCTCAACATCTTGGATTGCATTTTGACATCAGAGAACATCAATATCTAAACTCTCTCACCCTCTCCCTTACTGTATTATCCTGTCTGACATCCATGAGCACCTGTGCATCTACACCTAACCTTCTTCCTTACCAGTCACTATATTCTTCATTGACATATTTAAATATTTCCTTTCTTCATATTCTCTAATTTCTTGGGGTTTTGGGGTTTTGGGGTTTTGGGGTTTTGGGGTTTTGGGG